TCTTTAATATATCTGAGGACTAATAAGGAAAAATATAAGCTAACCTGTCTTTTTTTTTTTTTTTGCGGTTTTTGGCCTGGGCTGGGTTTGAACCTGCCACCTCTGGCATATGGGGCCGGCAGGCGCTGGCCCCTAACCTGTCATTTTTTGTGTGTGTGCACATAAAGTACATAACCAAAAACCCTCTATAATCAGAAATAAGATTTTTAAAAGCCCTTAAATTTATAAAGAAAGTTGTAATAGAATAATTAAATGCAAACAAATTTACCATGGCATAAATAAACATTAGCATAAAGTAGTCAGTTTTATAATTTGTTTGGTATACAGAATTCATAAGAAATAAAATAAAATTCCGAAGCATTCATATGATGACATTTTTACCTCAAATTTTTTGACACTAATTAACTAAACCGCTTAAATGCTAGAGTTTTTTCTTTATGGTAACATTTTAGTTTTAACCACTACAGTAATTTAAAGCAGTTAAAAAATATGATGCAATTTTTATATCTGGAAACTCTTTGATCATTTTAATTTTTAATATTAATCTAATAGATAAAGATAAAATGTCAATGATTTTTAAAACAAACCAATAGACAAAAAACTAGATATTTTAATTAAATATGTACAACTCCAGTAAAAATGTTAAATTGTATGACATCATCTGAGACTTACAACAGATAAACCAACAGGAATTAAAAATGCAAATTTGTGGTGTTTTAAAATGTATGCAACCTATGTAGATAAAGTCAACATTTTCCATCATCAGAATGAATATGCGGAAGCAAGTAACTGTGGGACTTACTTTTAGTTTCTCCATCATCCCAGAAGAGGTCTCCGGCTGCAGCATTATTTTCATCTAATGCAACTATAAGTCCTAGCGGATTCTTACGGCTATTAAGGAAAATTAGGTGTATAGGTGATTCAAAATAAATATAATAAAACCTCCTGTAAATAAGTTCATTTCAACCTATTTCATGTTTGTTCATATGTATCAATAATTTTTAGTATCAATTTTCTTATATGTATGCAGAAATAATTTTTTATATACTTAGAAAATAAAGGAATAAATACAGTACTGGATTTTTTTAAAGGCTGAAACACCTGCAAAATTGAAACAGTGTAACATTTTAATTCAAAAAGAAAAAAAAAAGTGCTGTGAATGTTCAGTTCAACCTGTGTAACCCTAAGGTGCAATGCATTAAGTCTGCATCTTACACACAAAGAATGAGAAGTATAATATGAAAATTTAAAAAATGCTTAGTCAAAACTCTAATTACTTTGTAATTGAAGATAATTGCAATAGGACAAATGAGACCTATGATCAACAGCAATATTTTTCTCATTTTTATATTGCCATAAAATAGTATTCTTCGCACCGTACAATCAAGGCACCTACTCAATACAGAATATATTCCTTTTGGTATTTGTTTTCCAAATTCTATGTGTATCTTGTTCATTAAGTACAGCTCGAGAGTATAGCCATTTTTTAGAGCATAATCATAAAATAGTTACATTATGACAGTCGCTAATTGTAGAATGCCTAAATTACTAATACACATTCATTCTCTCATTAAATTGTTCCCTCAACAAATGCAGGAAATAGAAATCTTATAACGACCTATCCACATATAGATTTGGGGAACAAAGCTGCAGCGAGTCAAGCCCCCATTTTTATGGAGTTTATAGCATGAGGAGGAGCACTGTACACAAGAAAAAGCAAAGCATATAATTTCAGATATCTCTAATGTTAAGGAAAACACAGCAGGATAAGAAACAGGAGCGACTCCCTGTTGGGTATTTCAAAATATAGAAATGCATGTGAACTCAAGACGAGACACTCTGTGCTGTTGAGAGTCACAATTTACAAGTTTCTTCTATTTTTTAAAATATTTCCTCTATTTTCTAAATATTACTTTTACTGAACAACTTACTTATTTTTTCCCTAACCTAAAATATCCACATATTTTTATCAACTTAAAAATAAAAATAAAAATTAGCAGGAACAAAAACCTGTGTAACTTATTTTTTTATAGAAATTCAAGTATGTAAAAATAGACACATTATTTGCTCAATTATATAGCAAATGTAATAGTCTATGTTATTCAGTATCAAAGATTGTCTTCAATTGCACATATTTAATGGTGAATATAAGTAAAGCTTTGGAACAAGAGATGAATTTCTAATCAAATTACAGAGGAACCTGTGTAAGTTGACCACCCCCGGGGCCGTAAGAAACTGGTCAATGTACAGAGGTGGTCAACACCAGGACCAGCTGTACCGTTCAGGTCAGACTGTGTGGTGCACATCCAGTCTGTGGAAATGAGGTCGACTTCAGGAGTGGTCAATGTAGAAAAGTTGTCAACCATGGAGGTTCTACTGTGTATTCATTTATTTAATTTAAAACATTTGTAGCAATATATATAATTTGACTATTTTAAACAATGACAGTTATAGTTAAATATTAGTTTTCTATGTCAACTATTATTTAGTAATAAGCTAAACATTAAACTCAAGTTCTTAAAAAATTTATAAAACGTCAAACTTTGAATCTTATTTCAGATCTTTCTAATGATTTTCATTTTACCTTGCTGTTGTTGTTACATCTGGTTCTTGAATGGGGATGATATAGCCGCCTCTAAGGTGTAACCCAATTTTGTCAGCCGGCAGATACATATTAACACGTTGTTTTCTCCACGGCCTTTTTGCACCCTAATATTCAGAAGATAAAAATATTTTTGTGTTATTAGTGAAAACTTTAAATTCTATAAGAATTAAAATTCATGCATGGAAATAATTTTTTACCATGAGCAATTCATGCTTTCCAAATGAATATTAATATATTTGTTTATCTTCTACAGAGAATTATCTTTTCTACTACTGAACAAAGCAGAAGAAAAGTAATTTTAATTTCTCAAAAAAGCAATCGATGTAAATAAATTAATTTCCTATCTATAACAATTAACAATGCCATTATTTAGCTCTACTTTTTATTTTTTTTGTTTTGGGTTAAAATTAACCTTGTCTTTAGAAAGGATTTTCTTAAAAATTATTGTTTCTATAAAAATAAAGGATCTACTTTGCAAACTTAAGTAATGCCTTTTAACTCAAGCACAGTGGCTCATGCCTATAATCCTAGCACTCTGGGAGGTCAAAGCGGGTGGATTGCTTAAGACCATGAGTTCAAGATCAGCCTGAGCAAGAGCAAGACCTTGTCTGTACTAAAAATGAAAAACTGAAGCAAGGGGATCTCTTGAGCTCAAGACTTCGAGGTTGCTGTGAGCTATGATTCCACAGCAGTTTACCCAGAGCAACAAAGTGAAACTCTGTCTCAAAAAAAAAAAAATGCCTTTTATTAAAATACATACTTCTTAAGAGGTCTTGGTCAATGGAAAAAAATAGATTATGTGTATAAATGCTGTTATCTTGCCCTTTCAAAGTTGAAATGATGAAATGAAAAGACTTTTCCAAATGTTAGGATATGTTATATAAAAACCATTACTAAGATTAGCTCAAAACTCAGTTATTTTGTCAATAAGATAAATATGTAAAATAGGAAAAAGCATAAAATCATTTCTTCTTTAACTACTGCGGACTTTTTACTTCCACCATTTAGAAATGAATGCTATATCTTTATATTAAAGACTATAATTTCATATTAAAGTCTAGTTCTTATGTAATAAAGGGTATACTTCAATATTTTTTACTCATTTCTCAAATATGAAATTATTATATATTATGATATTAAAAGTAATAGAAATGCTACAAATAGATTTGCTACATCACCCTCAACCGCACCCCTCAGCCCTGCAGCACTGGATTCTCACAGGACAGTGGCGCTCAACTTCCTAATGCTGCCGCCCTTTAATACAGTTGCTGTGGGCCGCGACCCACAGCTTGAGAACCACTGTCATAGAAGCACAAACCCCACTGTAAACTGCGCGTGTGAGGGATCTGGGCCGCCCGCTCTTTATAAGAATCTAATGCCCCATGATCTGAGTGGTTCTGAGGACACAGCAACACTTTCGTGTGTCACCACCTCCCACCCCAATTTTAGAGCTCCCGCTGGTTGTGCATTCTGGTGATTGTATAATTATTTAATTATATATAACAATGTAATGATGATAGAAAAAAAGCACACACTAAGTGCAAAGCTCGCGAACAATCCCAAAACTATCCCCCTCCAACTCCAGTCCATGAAAAATTGTCTTTCATGAAACTGTTCCCTGGTACCAGAAATGTTTGGGGCCACCATAAACGTCTTTTAAGTTTACTTACAGTTTCATAATCGTACCAGGTGGCGTCAGGGATGTAGGCGCTCACTGTATCTACTCCCTAAAACAAAGCAAGATCATACAGACTTGGTTAGTCTAATTTTTAACAGAGAGAATCTTGTCAAATGTTGTAAAAGAATTTCCCCTGTGTTTCTAAGCTCTATATATTTCCTATAGATTACAAGGCTGTTTTACTGGCTTTAGACAGTATCATAATGTAAAACATACCAAAAACAAAGAGACAAAGATGAAGTTAAATGAGTGGCAATTAAAATAATATGAGCATGTACGTGTATTTTTACAAACCGCACAGCCACTGTGCCCGTGAACACACTTATTTGAGCATCCCTCCGGGGACAGCTACTTTAAAAAGGAGGTAACAACCACAGACCACACTCTACTGTTTCTCCATCATTTTCATGTGATCACCTGGATTTCAAATTGCCCTTTATTTACAATACAGTGTGTATTTTGTTATACAGAATTTCCTTTAAGTAATACATTTATTAAACTTGTAGACGCACCTGTCTTAAAACAGGAGTAATCAGTAATGCGGGGCCCCACATAAACTCCAGGTCCTCAATCCAGCTGTTGGTATCCTCATAAAACCTGAGAACAAAGATAGCACTTAAGATATAATGAAAAGGTAGGTTCTTCCAAATTCCTTATTCAGTTTACCATTTTAGTTTAAAATAAAGGAAAGGGAAGGGAGGGAGGCAGGGAAGGAAGGAGGAAGAAGGAAATTATCTTGTACTCAAAATTCTATCATAGGTGATAAGGTTACTTTTTATCTCTAGTAAACAACTATTCTGTTTAATTATTTTTCTTTCATAAGATAGGTTACAAAGTACAAAGAATCTTTCATATTCTACTTTCGTCTCTTTAAACCCCTTTGTTGTAGACTTTTAAATTGATCTGGATTGGAAGGGCCTTTAAGCCATTTCTTGAGGCCTTGCTCTGTTGATGTCATGAAGAGATAAACACAGATCACATTTTTGTAATTGTTCTATAACACCCTCTGTCTATATTTACATAATGTTACAAATATTTCCTTGATATGTTTTCAATAATTCCACGGTTATCTTTCTGACTGCTATAATTTTCCTAACATAGTTTACATATCTTTTTTCCTGTGGTTTCTATTAATTCTCAATTTGTTCCTATTTTTGTCCAATCTATCGAGTTAACTATTTTTATTATCATTTTAGCTGATCAGATCAAATACGCAAATGTAAAATAAGCAGCAGAAAGGTAGTTGATACCTCGATTTATATCCATTAATCTTCTCAACATACACTTGAATATACTTTAAAAGATATTATACTTTTAATCATTGTACTCACTCGTGAAGAACTGGTCTTGCTACTGTTTCTCCAAACATATGGGCTCTATAAAACAGGGTATAGAGGAACGGTAGCAGTGTGTAGCGAATACTCAAATAGTGCCGGGATGAATTGACCAAAAGAGAATTCTGTCCAAAAAATGCTGGGTCCTGATGCTGTGGGAAAGAAGGAGAATTTACAATAAGAATGCTAAAGTGTAAAAAAAATTAAAATAGGAGAAGCTATTCTTAAATTGTATACATTTTAGAAATTTTAATTTTATAAGTTTTAGCTTTTGTGCAAAAAACAATACTAAACTTATCCCTATTTCATCATCAAGGTGTCTTAATATTTCCAGGTTTTGTGTTTTCATTCTGTTATATGTTTTAATTAAACTTAAGTTTGAAGTGGATATTTCAATATTTTTAAAACAACACAGTAAAGAATGTTGATTTACATATACACACTCAGAAAAGATGAAATGCTTTTAACAAAACTGAATTTTTCACATGTTAATAGTGGTAGAATGAATTTCTGAAACATGAATTATTTCCACACTTTGCAGTGTGACTTGTTCGTCCCCATCCAGTGATAGTGAATGGCGCCTCCCACCTCTCCACCTGGAGCTCAGTCATGTGAACTGTTTAGGCCAATGGGATGTTATTACATTGATATATTCAGGTGAAGACATGAAATGTACTAGCCTGAGGAATTACCCTCTTTGCTGCATTTCCATTAGAAAAATAAGCTCATGTAGTCTGCTGGCTCAGGACACAGGGAACAGAACTGCCCGCCAGCCCACAGACTTGCAATTCGAAGTACAGCCTTCCTAAACTCAATCTCAATCCACTATCTCAGCCTAGATGTACTAATGGGGGTAAGGTTATTAGATCCCCTGCTTTGGGTATCAAAATCAACAAAAGGTTTCTACTGCCTCCTTGATGAATCCCCCACTATGTCTGTGCTGAAGCCTGTTTCCCTTGGGTTGCCTCCA